GGGTCTTAAAGGCTTGAAGGTAAACAAGCAGCCATTTAGCTCAGAAGCAACAAAGCCCACATGGAAGAAGCATATATGTTAGCACATATGGCAACCTTTGTGATCACAGGTTTTGATCACAGATCAAAGAACAAAAAATCATATCATTGTGAATGATGGGGGGTTTGGAGTGGGGTCCCAAAGCTCATCTGTTAGCAACTGGACATCCTCTTATGGAAGGGTCACGGGAAGGAGACAAGCCAGTCAGAGTGCAGTGTGGCAACAATAAAATGTACAACTTTCCTCTGGCTTTTAATGCTCCCCCCCCCCAACACACACACACTATCATGATCCCGATTCTAGCTTACAAATCCGGCTAGACCAGAGGATGTACACTGGTACAGATAGGAACTGTAACACAAGGAACCCAAGACGGATGATCCCTTCAGGAACAGTGCTGAGAGTGGAGATACCAGGAGGGTGGAGGGAGGTTGGGGTAGAGAGGAGATACCGATTACAAGGATCTACATATAACCTCCTCCCTGGGAGATGGACAACAGAAAAGTGGGTGAAGGGAGACATTGGACAGCGTAAGATATGACAAAATAATAATTTGCAGATTATCAAGGGTTCATGAGGGAGGGGGAGTGAGGAGGGAGTGGGAAAAAATGAGGAGCTGATTCCAGGGGCTTATGTGGAGAGCAAATTTTTGAGAATGATGGGGGTAACAAATGTGGTAATATGCTTTATAGAATTGATGTATGGATTGTGACAAGAGTTGTATGAGCCCCAGTAATATGATTTAAAAAATTAAAAAAGAACCCATGACGGTTCAGATTTAGAAACATTTCATACGTTATATTTATAAGACTAGTAAATTGTTATGATACTGATTTGGTAGAAGAACATAGTTTAATTTTGCTGAATTGCAGGAACAGGAACAGTTTTTACATCAAAGTAAACTAGAAAACAAAATTAAACATATCTGAAGGCAAAAAAATATCACACCATTAAATAGTTAGAGAGTAAAATTATAGGAAAACAAAAATGCATGGGGAGTGATGTCTAACAAATCAGATGTCATTATCTCTGGGAATATTGCCCATTACAAAACAGCAAGTTGAGCAGATGGAAGGCTGATCAGAAATGTGAATAGTTTTATTGGATGAAGATTACAATTGGAAATCAATATCTACAAAGAGGGTTGACTCTGGAAAATAATCTTGTTATTGACTTGAACCTTGAAATGCTAAGCCATGAGAGCAAGGATGAGGCCAAAATCGTTTAGGCACTACTGGAATTGAAGGGATTCAGGAATCCGTAATCTTCTAAAGAAAGAATGAATGAAAAGTGTTCTGAAGGAATATTTTATTTTTCTAATTCTAAAATAATGCCTGCATTTTAAAAATACAACATGTAAAATAATCTAAAAATATCCAGTTAATTCTTGAGACTAAATAAAATAATGTTGTTAATATCATATAATATTTAAAGAGTATATAATGGGGTATGATAATATATAAGAAAAGAAAATATAGACAAGACAGTAATATTCACAAGTCATATACAGAATATGGCAACAGTTTTTTAAAAGGATATATTTAAAGTACAAAATATAACATTAAAACAATTGGAAGAGATCTGGAAATTTTAGAAAAAAATATAAAGAATTTAGGAACATCATAAAGTAAATTTCAGGCTGATTTATTTGCATATATATCAAAATTTGGGAAGATGGGAAAATAGACTATACATTGTAAAATAATTCTCGAGGATATTAGATAGATACAGTGGTGGTAATTGTAACATATTGATATAGTGAGATAAATGGAAAAGTCTATTTCTGCAATTGTAATTAAATAAAAAAGCATATATAGAAAGGAGTGGGGGATATTTATGAAAATAGATATTTTGTGTTCTTTCAAAAGAAGTTAACTCTAATATTTAATAAGCAAATACAATGTAAAAAATAAAACACACATAAATCCATATGCGGTAGTCACTTAACCTGGTGTCAATTTAAGGATTAAGGTTGTAGGGGTGGAGTCTAGTCTGTCAATCTGGAGATAGCCAATGAGACTTCTGTGTGGGCATGGCCTTCTCCTGAGAATTCTGGGAGATCTGGTCATTCCTTCTTGGAGGCAGAAAACACCTCTCTCTGCTACTCCTGGAAGACATTGCTGAAGACAAGCCACATGGATGCAACTAGATCTCGGAAGGCGGAGAAGGCACAGAGAGACCCCTGCCAGCTCTGAGATGCTTACAAAGCCACTGGACCCAAAGACTTTCTACCTGCTGGCTTGCATCGCCCTGCATTTGGCTTCATTGCATGTCTTTAGTGAGTCTGACAAGGACTTTATAGCTCAGTATTGGACATATGGGCTAATAACAGACTTACAGCCTTGGCTTGGACTGGGCTGGGATGTTTTCTCAATGTTCAATTGCTCTTGTATATAAACCTCTCCCTTATATACATATGTGTGTTTATGAATTTGTTTCTCTAGTTTACCCAGACTAACACACCATAAAATAGAGGAAATTATAAATGAAAATGATTAATACAACATTGAGATTGTCTGCTGTGAGACCCAAAAACAGATTGCTGTCATCTCAACCAAAATTGGAGGGCAAAACACATTAATGATATTTTCAAAGATTTAAAAATAAATCACTAATAAGTGAAATTACAACTATGGTAAAAATCCTTACTTCAAAATGACCTTAACATAATTGATTATATAATGCCATTTCATGAAAATAAAAATAGACAAATATACAGCAAAGGAAATCTCCAAGTTTATTTCTCCTGCTTAAGTAAAATTGCTACAGATGGGAGTTTATAGATGCAGGAAGAAATGAGTAACAATGAGGTAGTAAATATACACAAACATTTAAATGAATATACACTGTATAAAATCATAACCACAGTGTAGATGTGGCTTACAATTTTTAGGAAGTAAAGTACACCAAAAATATTATATGTCAGAAAGTAGAGACATGCATTAAAATGGGTCTAAACGTAGCTCTAAAATCCTTTCATTACTGTAAAGATATAATACTGCTAATTTCCATTAGATATAAAATGTTATGTAAAAGTCTATGACATTGACTAAAATAAGTGTAAAATGATGTATAAAATTAACCAAATTATATATGGAGTAATAGTAAAACAAAGCAAACACAGGAGGAAAAGCATTGAATAAGAAAGATTCACAAGTTTGGGCTGACTAATAGAAATCAAATATATGATAGTACATTAAACAGAAGAACAAGACTAACTATCTTAAGTTTTCCATGTGTGGTATATTTTAAAGTGCAGATATTTCAGAAACCTAAAACTATGAGATATTTTAAAATAGAATTTAAATGCTTCTTATAACTGAAAATCATGATAATATATAAAAACAGTTCAGAGAGGTGAAATTTTGTAACTTAAGAAAGCTGTCTACTTGTAATATATGTAAATTCTATGCCATCAGAAAAGTGGAAAATCACCATTGAAATTCTACCAAATGAAATTGTAACAAAAAGAGGTCATTTGAAATTAATATTAATTATATTAATGTAAAAGAGCTTAACGAAACATCAGTTAATCTAGCAACAATATGTACATATTATTTTTATACTAAATCTCAAAAATACATTGAAATAAATAAATGGTAAAATAACATAAAGGATTTGGTATGGGAAAGGGAAGCTCACAAGAATAACAAGAGAAGTGACTGAAATACAGGTGGAAATTTTCTGTACTGAGAACCACTTACCTAAAGGAATAATTATAAATGCACATTGATTATATTACTTCTGATAAAGCATCTCTTGCCTGACGATTCCTAAAATTTCATGTAAATTCTCATTAGAATTAAGCGTTACTCCTTGTGCATTCCTTATTTGTGTATTAATATTTTTTTCACACACTCATAGATCTGCCTGGTTCTGACCCCATAGATCACCGGGTTAAGCATTGGTGGCACTATGACATAGAGATTAGCCAGAAGTATGTGGATATAACGGGGGACATTCCGACCGAAGCGATGGGTCATGAAGGAAAAGAGGGCTGGTGTATAAAAGGCAAGGATAACAACAACGTGTGAACCACATGTGCTGAGAGATTTGAGCCGGGCTTCATGGGAAGGGAGACGGAATACAGCACGGAGTATATGGACATAAGAGATAGCAATAGCTGTGATGTCAAACACTAGATTACAAATGGCACATAAGCCATAAATAATATTAATCTTAATACTGGCGCAAGAGAGGCGAGCAAGACCCATGTGCTCACAATAAGTGTGAGGAATGATGTGATTCCCACAGAAGGGCAGTCTCAATATGAGAAATACAAATGGAATAACGGCAATGAAATTTCTTACTACTACTCCAAGACCAATCAGAGAAACAACCTTGTTAGTGAGAATGGTGCTATATCGCAATGGGTTGCAGATGGCCACATAGCGATCATAAGCCATTGCCAAGAGAACTGCTGATTCTAAGCCAGTGAAGTTGTGGATGAAAAACATCTGTGTGAGGCAGGCATCAAACACTATCTCTCTAAGGTTGAACCAGAAGATACCAAGCATCTTAGGGATGGTAGCTGTGGAGAGGCCCAAGTCAATGGTGGCTAACATGGCCAGGAAGTAGAACATGGGTTGGTGCAGGCTGCTCTCAGTCTTGATCACAAACAGAATGGTTAAATTCCCTAAGAGTGCAATCACATACACAGCACAAAAGGGGAACCCAATCCAGATGTGTAGTGTTTCCATTCCTGGGATCCCCAGCAGTAAAAAAGATGAGGGGTGGAATTGGGTGTCATTTGTAGGGAACATTCTATAAGGTAATGCATATGTCCACAGTTAGAAATGTGTGCTTATCCAGTCAGAAGAGCACAAGATAAAATCCTAGAGTTGGACACATAAAGATAACAATATTATTAAAAATATGCATTTTTATATGAATGTAATGCAATATTATTTAAAAATATATGCATTTTATATTAATGTAATGGTATAGACTTAACACTCATTATACACAAAGCTGTAATGAGAGGTGACATCTGAAAGATTAGGTAATTGATTTTCACTAGTCATTGTAATTATTAGTACAAAAATTCCCTTTGAATTTTGAACTACTTGTGGTTCTTTTAACCACTACATATAAAGTAGCTAGAGAACACTGCCACTGGGTTGTCGATCTGTTCAACGGTGATGACTTGTATGCTACTATTCTGCTGGCACTGTGCCACAGATGTTTCAAAACCCAGCAGTCTCACTTGTGTTGGACAGGTTTAGCAGAGCTTCCATACCAATACTTATCAAGTAGAAAGACCTAGTAATATACTTCTGAATATTAACTAAAGAAAACCTTGAGCATCACAGCATATTGTTATATAAAATGCCAGTAATATTTGAAAATGAACCCAATAGGTTAGAAGTCACTCAACATATACAGTGGTAAGATAACAAATGTCAACGTACCAGTGATCTGGAAGATGCTGCAGGACTGTTCAGCATTATCTTGGGTTATGCATGGAGTTGCCATAAGACAAGCCACTTGAAAACAGCTAATGACAGTGTAAGATATGACAAAATAATAATTATAAATTATCAAGGGTAGATGAGGGAAGGGGGAGAGGGGAGGGAAGTGGGGAAAATGAGAAGCTGATGCCAAGGGCTTAAGTAGAGATCAAATGTTTTCAGAATGATGAGGGCAACGAATGTACAAATGTGCTTTACACAATTGATGTATTGTGATAAGGGTTGTATGCGCCCCCAATAAATCATTTAAAATTAAAAAAGCAATAGTATCAAGGCTTGCTGCTAGATTTCAAAGCTTTCTAAATATTCATATAAATAATTTGGGAAATAAAGGAATCTAAGAGTTTTATGAAAATGTACAACTTATTTGAAGAGTGTATTTTTCATTACCACAAAGAACCAAAAAATGATTCTACATATACCAATACTGTCTACGCTCAAAGAGAGTTGTGTTTTCTTTATTTTAGTGAAATATTTGAGATAATTACCAATACAAACGTAGTTATAAGAAAAAATACATAAACATCCTTTATAATGATTACTTTTTAACACAAATTTGACAACTTAAAAGGCCACTTAATAGTTAATTTCAAAACAGATTTACCCTTTAAAGCACTTCAAATTGTGTTTCATCGATGAAAGAAAAAATACATAAACATCCTTTATAATGATTAC